GGACATACAAGATTGCAAGGCAGTCAGGTGGGGATCAGCACAGAAGCCAAAGTCACAATTTGGTGGCCTTCTTCTCCATCACTCTGGGCCTGGCTCCCTAGGTTTGACAAGAATAACAACTCTGTCCTTCAAATCCCAGTGCAATTCACCTTCAGGAAGTTACCTGGCAAACACTGTGGTCTCCCCTAAGCCTCAGTTCTTATAGCTTGAGTTACTTTGACAAGGCACCATGTCCAGAATGACAAGGAACAAAATGGTCAGACGTGGAGCAAAAAGAACATGGTTCAAGCCCAAGTTCTGCTCCTGAGACTTGAATGGACGTGAACACATCAGCGAATTTCCTCGCCCATGATTGCCCTACATAAATGGACACAGCCCCTTGCCATTCACTGCCAGAATGAACACACTTGAAGAGTCCTGAAGCATGGTGGTCTGGAAAGCACCAGAATCAGAATCGCCTAGGTGGCTGTTGAAGTATGGGTCCTGCCCTAGATGCTGCTGCTGGCCTAGAGCTACACTTTGAGAATGGCTGCTTTTAAATAACACATAAATAGATGCGAATATAGTACTTGGCCTCACATAGCTGTTAAATAGTTCACTGGAGAGTCACACCTTCTGAAGTGAAGTCCAACTCACTACATGAGGCTGTGGCAAAACTGATTACAAGCCACCCATTGTGGTGATATACTGTGTACCCCAATAAAGCATGTCTGGGGATCAGAGAACAAAGCCAGCCACTATATTAAACATAGAGGTCAGGCAGTGTTAGCATACTCTTTTAATCCTGGCATTCAGGAGGTGGAGATCCATCCAGATCTCTATGAGTTCAAGGCCACACTGGGAACAGAGCCAGGCGTGGTGGCACACGCCTTTAATCCCGGCACTAGGAAGGAAGGAAGATGGCAGGGCACAGGAAGGTATATAAGGCATGAGTAAACAGGAAGTCTCTGTCTTGAGGCTGAGGATTTGTAGAGGTAAGAACGTGGTTGGCTTGTTCTGTTTCTCTGATCTTTCAGCTTGTGAGTGGCTGGATGAGGTATGTATCCAGTTGTGTGCGCCTGTTCACATGTGTCCATAACCATGTGGAGGCCAGAAATGAACTTGAGATGTTCCTCGGGAGCTATCCACCTATAGGTTTTATTTGTTAGTTTTTTGAGACAGGGTCTCTCCCTGGGACCTGAATTTCACCTATTAGGCTAGATTGGCTGGCTACTGTATCCCAGGGATCTGGTCTATATTGCCCCAGCACTAAGATTATACCTAGTACAATCTGAGCACCATGATGCACAGATTTTTCACATGGTGCTGGAGATGGGTCCCAGGTCCCTGCGTTCACATATGTGCTTTACTGACTGAGCTCATCCCCTACCCTCCCAACTCCCCAAATTCCCCAATGCTGATTTTACAGCCAAACCAACCTTCGGCTTGGGAACTTGGTTTTTATTTGTGCATTTTATTTCAAATGCCATCAGCAGTTGGTTTGTTTCTTTAATAAGCTTTTGAGTACAGATAATTTGAAGTCAGTATCTAATGGAAAGATCTGATCAATAGGAGACCACTGTACCTGAAACAAATGGAGGAAAACCAAGCTTTAGAGATGGGGAATGATGATTCTGCTCTGTCATCTAGTTCCCTACTATATTTTTACTATAAAGTAAAAAATTTATAGCTTTGAAAATACTTTTTGAAAAAATTTTAAAAAATTTAACTAAAAGCTTTCAAGGACTCTGTGAATGTATTTCTGTATGACATATACTTATTTTCAAAACCAGAAAGTAGGAATTTTAAGAAATATGCTTATTACTTATGGCATTTACATGGTGTGTTGGTTTGGATGAGAATGGCCCCGCGGGATCATGGATTTGGATGGTTGGTCACCAGGAAATGTCATGTTTGAAAGGATTAGGAAGTGTGGCTTTGTTGGTGGAAGTGTCACTGGAGGTGGGTGGGCTCTGAGGTTTTCAGAAGCCCAAGCCAGGCCCAGTGGCTCTCTCTTCCTGCTGCCTGCAAATCCAGATGTAGAACCCTCAGCTATTTCTTCAGCCCCAAGTCTGCCTATGTGTCACCAAGATTCTCACCATGATGATGATAATGGACTAAACCTCTGAAACTACAAGCCCGACCCAATTCAATGCTTTTCTTTCTAAGAGTTGCCGTGGCCCCGGTGTCTATTCACAGCAATAGAACACTGACTTAGACACACTGTTGCCTTCCACTGTGTCCCAGCTTGTTTTCTATTGTTATAAAACACAATTACCAAAGCAATGTAGTAAGGGAAAGGTTGACTTGACCTACACATCCACCTCAGGACCCATCACCAAGGGAAGCCAGGACTGGAAATTAAGCAGAGACCATGGGGGAATGCTGCTTATTGGCTTGCTTTCTGTGGCTTGCTCAGCCTGGTTTCTTACACAATACAGGACCACCTGCCCAGGGGTGGCATTGCCCACAGTGGGCCAGGCCCTCTTATATCAATCATTAACCAAGAAACTGCCCAGCAGACTTGCCTATCTATAGGCCAATCTGAAGGAAGTATTTTCTCAGCTGAGGTTCCCTCTTCCCAGATTATCCTAGCTTATGTAAAATTGACAAAAAAAAAAAAAAAAACCCTAACAGGTACACCAAGAAACACAGCAGAGGCCATTGTCTTCATGTGTCCCTCAGAGCAACACTTGTTTGCCTTGCTGAATGGATTCTGGACAGGGCAGTTCTACAAAGAGGTCTATGTGTTGGCTTTTTCCCCCATGTCTTTTTTATGGCACTGAGAGTTAAGACAGTTTAAAACAAATCAATGTTTCTGTTTTCACTCATTAAGAGAGGGTACTGCATGTTTATATACCTGTTACAAATTGGTTTGTCAAATCCAAGCGTTCAGGGTACATTCTACTCAACAATACACTCTGGAGTTCATTTTCTTATTAATCATCTGGACCATTAGAAATTTTCCATTGGAGTATTTCTATGTGGTAAAAATAGGACAGATGGTATAGAGATCCAGGCAGCACTCTTTCTGAAACCACCTAGCATGCCTGAATTACCATGTGTACCTTGATTGCAATATGGATGCACTGAAGTTCCCTAAAATACACGTGTCTTAAATTTATTAAGGCCCTTCTTAGCAAACTCATCAATAACACTCTCAAAGGATTTCCAGGGACTGGAAGGATGTTAAAGCCCTTGCTGGGTAAGCCTGGACACCTGAGTTTGGTCCCTGGAACCCACAGAAAAGTGAAAGGAAAGAACCAACTTCACAAAGCTGTCCTCTGATGTCCATTAATGCTCTGTTTCACTTACCACCCCGATAATAATCATAATAATAATAATAATAATAATAATAATAATAATAATAATAATAACAGCTTTTCACAGCTTTCCAGTTAGGGCTATCGAAGAGCATTCATTTTCTTCCGTTTGATGCTCACCACTGATACTTACTACTGACATAGTAGAGGACATTAAGTGGACTCAGAGCCAGTTCTTCCAATGATGAAAGGGGAACAGCCATGAACTAGGGAGGACTCAGTGCTCTTTTCAAAAACCCACTCAGTTTTCCCTTCTAGAAGATGTGATTAAAGGTTTGCCGGTAGGGGTGGTTAGGAGCATGTAGTATTTAATAATTATTTAGTCTTTGAATTATTGGCAGAGAGTGAATTAGGTCCCCAAATTTAACAAGCATGAGTGATTTATATATTTTTATATAATTAATATGTACATAATTATACATAATATAATTTTATGACATATATTAGATATATATAAAATCATTTATATATTTTTTGAGACATATATATGTTGAGACAGATTCTCCCTACACAGAGCAAGCTGACCTCATACACACACAATTCCTCTGCTTCAGCTTCCTGCGTTCTGGGATTTCATGTGTGTGCCACCATCTTTGGCAAAATATTTACTTTTTATAGCAAATACATAAGTTTTTGTTTTATTTTTGTTGTTGTTTTTTGGCATGGAGGACAGAGCCTAGAGCCTTGTGCATGCTAGTCAATGCAAATGCATAAATACTTTAAAATTCCATAAAAAGGATAGTTTATGATTCCAGCTGTGTATGTTATTAACATTCCACTGCACTTATCACTAACAGGGGTCAAATAAACAACTTTGAACCCTGACAAGGTCTCAAATAAACTCTATGATAATGAAAAGCAGTGTAATGTGATGTGTCTAGAAAATACTTCTCATGAACTAGATAAGTTTGCTCAGGATGCTGAGCTAAAGCTTGAAGACAGAAGGGTCATATACTTTGTGCAATAAAGAATGAGGCTCCATGTGTTCCAAAAATGTAGGCAAGGAAAGACAAGCATTTCATCCACTTTCTCAGACTCTGAGAAAAAAATAGCTGCAACTAAATTCAGTCTTACATAAGACTGGGCACTGTAGGTACTTCTTTTTAATTTGAGAACAAAAACTTAAAGTCTAGAGCGATGGCTCAGTACTCACTACTGCTCTTGCAGCAAACCTGGATTCAGTTCCTACACCTACATAGGATAGCTCACAACCACCTGTAACTCCAGTTCCTAGTTCTTGGCTTCCATGGACACCTGCACATGCAATATACACATACAGGCAAGCAGACACACACACACACACACACACACACACACACACACACACACACACACACACACGTAGGGGGGAAGGGAGAGACAAAAAAATAAAAAATTTTTAAAAAGAATTTTAAAGAGTGGCCATCACGTTGAGGAAAGTTGTGTGGTGGTCAGACATGGCTCTGGTTTTGGAGTTTGCCTTGCAAGTGCAGCACTGCTATGCTGTATATTTTTATCCACATGCTAAGAAAGTGTAATACAGTCCAAACCATCTTCATACTCTAAGGTGCATAAATAATGCAGAGTTATCCTCCCTTCCCAAAAAGGAAGTCATTCTCAACAGTAATTTGCAGGCTTTATCTGATTTCCTTTCAAAGTGTGGAAAGAGTCTAGGTCTACATACATTCTAAAAACTATGAGAAAAAGTGGGGAACCAACCTTTGTGTCACATTATTGCATGTCAGTCTCACAGATTCTTAAAGCTCTTGAATAGTTGATCTTACACATATTTTCACTTATGTCCTCCAACAGCCCTCGCAGTGAAGGGTGTTCCATTGGCACTGAAGGGAAGAATGCACTTATATAACATGTAAAATACACGAATACATGTAATTGCATGCATGTAAAATCGTGCATACAGAAATGAATTTCCAAAACACAGTCAGAAATCTATCTGAATTTACTGTTGTAATGAATTAACAAATAAGTATTGAATCAAGTACCAGGCATAAAATATGTGTAGATATGAAATTAGTACCAAGCTTTGTGAACCTCACTAAAAGAACAGGATTCATGAGCAAATAAAAATACAGCATGTAAAGTGCTACATCCAAGGCTTTTATATTTTAATAGACATAATACAAGAGGCAGATGGGTTACATTCCTCTAAAACTTTCCTGTGTAAGGTTTACCTGTGTCTAGAAATTTCTTCCCAAGTCATCCACTTTTGAATCAGTCCTCATCTACACTGCCACCCTGCACAGTCTATCTGTTCCTCAGGCAAAATGCTTTTCTTGGCTGAAGTTTGTTCACTATCAGACTCCAAAAGTGTCCCTAACAGAGAGAGACACATCCACTTGTCAGGGAGCAGTTAGGTCTGCTCTTCTGGACACATCAAGGCAAGAAGAGACATCATAAACAGGCCACAAAGTGGGAAGGACTGTGCGTGCCCTTGATTGAAAAGCACAAAAGCATTAGCAGGAATTTCTGAGGCGTTTCCTTTGAATCCCAAATGTCTGCACCCTGAGCTCCCAGGGTCAGGGTTCAACTGCACCCAGCCTGCTGTATAATCTGAAAGGAATGAAGTTAGTTGTGGCTCCAGAGAAAGAAGCCAGCACCAAGAAATCAATGTCTGTAACAGGTGTGTTTCAGTAAAGTCACAGGACCTTACAGTGACATTCTCAAGACAAGTTGCCAGCTCCCTGGATTCACACCTCTACCATCTCTGAAGAGCAGGGTTGTAGCTGGCTGTGGCTTGTTCTGTTTCTCTGATCTTCCAGTATTCACCCCAATATCTGGCTCCGGGTTTGTTTTTATTAATAAGACTTTTTAAGATTCATGCTACACAGGGTATGTAAAGTTTTGTTTCTCTGCCAGAGAGAAAAATCACCAAGTTAGAAAGAATATGTGTTTTTAACAGTGGATCAGAGCAAGGGGAGTCACTAGTTCCTATGTTGGTTATGTCCTTTAGTACGGTCAGTTGTCTGTGAGAAATCCCAAAATCCCAACAACATGGAGGAAGGGCCTCCCTGTGCCATTGGTGCCCAATCCCCTGGCTTGGGACCTTTCTTCTAACATTGCAGTCTCCCCATCACATAAAATCTCTCTATCCAGGAGACTCTTTGATTAGTTTCTTCAATAGTCCCTGCTCCTTCTGGATTGGGCAAAATTGCAATTCCTAATATGCTGCATGAATGCAGCAGGGCTCTTGCAACCCCAGCATGTTTTTCAAACTGAAGGTTAAACGTTGGTGAAGTGTGCACTTTGGAAATCCTGCACCTCTCAGCTTCCTTCAGCTCCCAGGAGACCAGAGGTTCCCCCACACTTCTCTCTTGGCCCATGCCTCTGCCTTGAGTGCTATTGGTTTACCCAAGGAGATGAGAAAGCAGGTTATTTGCAAATTCTTTTTCTCACAACAAATATTTTACAAAGTATGACCATTGCATGATTTCTAAGCCACCAATTCGTGTTGCAGTTTGGCCATTGTGCAATGTCTCCTAATAATTCTTCACCCTGAGGTATAAGAAAAAAAAAAAAAATAATGATCCCCAACGCACAAACCCTGACTCTAAACATTGCCTGCCCTTCCTGACCCTGGAAGCTGCAGACACACACATGCACACCCAGCATGGGAATCCTTTCCTCTGGCCTCACCTGCTGCCTCCATCATTCCCAGGCCTTAGCTCCCAGCAGGCAGTAAATCTGTCAGTGGGGCCTAGCACCAAGCAGCACCAGGTTTCTATCTAGCCTTTTAAGACACCCCCTCACCATGGCTTCTTCCATTTAGATTGACATAAATGCTACACACTCAGAGAAAGACTGATACCCAAATCTTTATTTAAATTGCTTTCCCACTGAAACCATTTTATCAATCAAAACAGATAAGAACAAATTTCAAAGAATCATCTACACGGATCCATCCCTGAAAAATCAAGGCCACTCACTTTGTTTTGGTCTGCCTGGACAGAGTGCCTGGTGCCTGCAGAAGTGGAGATAAGTGAGGGCTACACAGAGAGAGGTCACTCGTCAGTTGGGTTTGAAGCCAGCCCTTCCAAGACCCCATCATCTACTTCAAGCAAAGTCTTCATACATCCACTCTCAGCATGGAATGCCGGGTCTGGCTCCCCCTCTCCTGTTAGTTCCAGCTCAGGGCCATTATAAATGATGTATTAATGTGGAAAGAGGAACACAGAGCAATCTGAGGGAGGAAGGAGCAAGACTCTGATTCTCAATACTGACATCTGTGGTAAGTTCATTGTGTAGTAGAGGTATACCTCATAATCTAAGTATTTAATTGTGTGTTCTCTTCATATATATACACATTGAAAAAATTGACTACAGGCTAAGGTAGAAAGAAGAAAACCTTGGACCTAGATTTGGCTTCCAGCTAGGTCTAATACTTAATAAAGGTTTCTGAGCAAGAAATGTGATGCTGGATAAAAGACATCAGTATTTCCCTGCCAATTATGAAATATTCAAATTAAAAATAGTTACAATTACTTCTCAATAGCCAATCTATTTTTGTTGTTGTTGTTTTTAAGCTCTTAACAACTATTAGGGGTTTTTTCCACCTACCAGCTGATAATTATCTTTCTAAAACAAGTTCAAAATATGTGGTGAGAGTGCTGAATCCTAACCACTAGACCACCAGTAGATGTAAAACAAAGGATGACTAGACTGCTACTCACAACTCCAGGGAGGCTACCTAGAAAATAGGACCCTACGAAAGACACAGGGATCACTCAACGACAGAGAAATGGATGAGATCTACATGAGCAAACAGGACGTGAGGGGGTAATGAAGGGCAAGGGTCAAGGGAAAGAGAGTTTAGGGGAGCAGAAGATCCCAGCTGGATCAAGAACATAGAGGGAGAACAAGGAAAAAGAGACCATGATAAATGAAGATCCCACGGGAATAGGAAGAAGCAAAGTGCTAAAGAGGTCCCCAGATATGGTGATATTTTATTTGTACTGAATTGTGATTTTATTTGTATGTTAATAAATAAAGTTGCCTGGGGGTCAGAGCTAATAGTAAGCCATAGCGGAGCTGGGCGTTCGTGGTGCACGCCTTTAATCCCAGCACTTGGTAGGCAGAGCTAGGTAGATCTCTGTGTGGTCAAGGATACAGCCAGCATTGGAGACACACGCCTTTAATCTCAATACCAACCATAGACGACCTGGAGGTCTGTACAGACAGGCAGTGATGAGGCGGTCATGTGGTTGGGTTTACAACCAATGAGAAGGCAGAACAAAAAGTCTATATAAAGACAAACACACAGGAAGTAGGTCTCTTTTGACTGAAGAAGCTAGCTGCAACAGACGGGTAAGGCTTTTAGCTCTGATCTCTTGGCTTTCTTCTTTGCATTGGTTCTGTGTTTCTTATTTAATAAGACAGTTGGTTACATCTCTACCCAGAAATCCACAAAGATACCTCCACAATACTGGCAATGGTCAAGAGAAAGCCTGAACTGATCTACTCTGGTGACCAGATGGCCAAACACCCTAACTGTCCTGCTAGAACTCTCATCCAATGACTGAGGAAAGCAGGTACAGAGACCCACGCCCACGCCCCAGGTGGAGCTTCGGGAGTCCAATTGGTGAGAAAGAGGAGGATAGCATGAGTGAGAATTGTTGAGACTATGATTGGAAAAAGCACAGGGACAAATAGCCAAACTAGTGGAAACACATGAACTATGAGCTAATAGCTAAGGAGCCCCCAACTGGATCAGGCCCTCTGGATAAGTGAGACAGTTGATTAACTTGAACAGTTTGGGAGGCCCCCCGGTAGTGGGACTGGGAACTGTCCTTAGTGCATGAGCTGGCTGTTTGGAACTTGAGGCCTATGCAGGGACACATTGCTTAGCCTGGGCCAAGGGAGGAGGGGACTGGACCTGCCTGTATTGAATCTACCAGGCTGAGCTGAATCTCCAGGGGAATCCTTGCCCTGGAGGAGATGGAAATGAGGGGTGGGCTGGGGGGAGTACTGAGGGGGGGCTGGAGGAGGGAGGACAGGGGAATCCATGGCTGATATGTAAAAATAAATTAAATTATAAAATAAATTTTAAAAAAAGATGTGGTGAGCAGAATTTAAAGATAGCTCTAAGATTTCTGAAATATACATAGAATAGAACAAAGACTTGGTTCCTTGAAAAAATAAATAAGACTTATAACTCTCTAGCAGAGTAGCAAAGAAGAAAAAGAAACCCTAAATTAATAAACCTAGAGATGAAAAAGGGAATGTTACCACAGATCTCAGTGAATTTTGGAGAATCTTTGAAACATGTTTTTATAAAAGGAGGATATAGAAGAAATGAATAAATTCCTAGACACATTGGATCTCCTAAAATTAAACCAAGGGCATGTAAACAATTTTAGAAGATTCACAGTAACCAAGACTGAAGCAGTAATAAAAAGTCCCTAACAAAGAAAAGTCCAGAAATGGATGGATTTGCTATATGAATCTATTATAGAGAAAAGTAGGGGAACACCAGACTTACTCTATAAAAACCAACATCATTGTGACATCAGATAACAGCACAGCAAAGAAAGAAAACCATAGATCAATTTCTCTAGCAATAGTTGCAAAAATTGTCAGTAACATTCTGGCAAAGCAAATTCTGAAAGACATTTCGATAATCATGCAATGGAACAAGTTGGTTTCATTGCAGGGGTGCAACATATGCAAATCAATAAGTATAGTACAGAACACAGTAGACATAAGGTCAGGAATCCTATGATCATCTCAATTGACACAAAAGCCTCTGAAAATGTCATTATCTTCAAGATAAAGATCTTTGAAGAATAGAAGGAAAGTTCAACATGCCAAGGTCTTAGATTGATTTTTATTGATTGCTGCCATAGAATTCTGACTAAGACTATTAGGAGGAATGGGTTTACTTAGCTTATACATCACACGTCATAGTCCATCACTGATGGAAGTCAAGACAGGAACCTGGAGGCAGGAACTGAAGCAGAAACATAGAGGAACACTGATTATCCACAGGAAAACTTTGTATCCACAGCTTGCTCAGTTTGCTTCTTATACACCCCAGGGCCACCTGCCCAGGAGTGGTAACACCCACAATAAACTGACCTCTCCCAAATTAAACATTAATTAATCAAGAAAATATCCCCACCCCAGATTTGCCTACAGGCCAATCTGATGGAGGAAGTTTCTCAATCAAGGTTTCTTCTGCCCAGATGACCCAAGTTTATGTCAACTTGACAAAAACAAAAACAAAAAGCCTAACCAGCACATGTATGAATGACAAACCTACAAATCTACAGCCAACATTATGCCAAAAGGTAAAAAGCTGAGAACTTTCCCCCTAAAATCTAGAACAAGACAAGACTACAAGACTGTACCCATTCTTGTTCAGTATAGTGTTAGAAGTCTTCTACCAATAAGACAAGAGAAAGAAGTAAAAGAGATACAAACAAGAAAAAAAAGTTGAATTATTCCATTTGCAGATGATAGGATCCTGTACTTAAAAGACACTAAAGACTCCACCAGAAAACTCATGGACTTTATAAACACTTCCAGCAAACTATAAGGATACAAATACAAAATTAATATACAAAATAGCTTTTAATATGCCAACAATCAACTTTCAGAGAAAAAAAGTCAAAGGAACTAAAGTATATTCATAATACCTTTATAAAAATAAACAGCTGACTCTCGCTAAAAATAAATAAGAAAATAAACTAACCAAGAGGTAAAGCACCTCTTCAATGGAAACCTTAAGACCCTGACTAAAGAACACAGAGAAGACACCGTATGGGAGGACTTTCTACACTGTGGATTGACAGAGTTAGTATTTTATGGCTGTATTAGCAAAAGCAAACTACACATTCAACTCAATCCCTATCAATGACTTGCTCCAGGGAACTAGAAAAGCAATCCTAAAATTCATACAGAATAGATGCTTAATAGCTAAGGCAGTCTTTAGCAGAAAGAACTCTGCTTGGGGTATCACAGAAAGGGTCTCCGATTATACTACAGAATAAGAGTTTTAAAAAATCAGACATGTAAGCCAATGTCACAGAAAAGGAGGATCCAGAAGTCAGCCAATGGAGCTATAGCCACCCAACTGTTGGCAAAAATTGATGGACAGTTCTCAAAAGAAGAAAAGGAAACAGCCAAAAAGTATTGAAAAAGTGTCCAACATCCTTGGCCATCTGGTAGTTGCGAATTGAAACTACTTTGATAGTCCATTTCGCCTCCAGTCAAAACAGACACCACCAAAATACCAAATATGACAAATTCCAACCAAGATGTTATGATGAGGAACCCTTACTTATTGCTCTCAGTAATGTAAACTTTTGAAATCCACGGGTGCCTCAGAAAACTAAACATAGAACAACATTACACAGCTATACCACTCTATATACCCCAGGTCATAGTGACTGTCAGCTGTCAACTTAACACAAACCGAGAGTTACCTGGAAGAGGGAACCCCAAGTAAAGAATTGCCTCCATTGCATTGACCCCTGGGCAAGTCTATGGGGGCATTTTTTATATTGTTAATTGATGTAGGAAGAGCAAGCCCACTAGGAAGGTGGGCCTGGGTTGTATAAGAAATGTAGCTGGACATGAACCTGAGAGAAAGCCAGTAAGCAGGGCTCCTTATGGTTTCTGCTTCAAGCATTTGCCCTGAGTTCCTGCTTAGGCTCCTTTCCATGATGGACTGTAACCTGTCAGCCAAATAAACCCTTCCCCAACCAAGTTGCTTTTGATCATGGTATTTACCACAGTTACAACAATAACAAAATCAGAAGAGGACACCCAAAGAATGCTAAGTCAATACACAGAGTACATGCACATCCATGCTTATTCACAATGGTAAGGAAATATAGTCAGCCAAGATGTCCCATAAATGAATGCATACAGAAAATGTGGGACATATACAAAAGAGAATTTTATTAAGGTACAAAGAAAAATGATTTCATAACATTTTCAGGAAAAGGGATGAAAGTGGTGATCAATATGTAAAGGGAAATAAATCATGTTCAGAAATATGAATACTATATGTTTTTTCTTATGTGGAACCTAGATTAAAGTATGTGGTGTGGGTGTGGGTGTGGGTGTGGGTGGGTGTATGTGTGTAGGTCATGAAACTAGAAAGCAGATTTTGAGAGAAAAGGAAAAAGTCTTAAGGAAGCAAAGGAGAGGGTAATAGAACTCATGTGATTAGAATACAATGAGCAATGTACTGCCTGAAGAAACAAAGGGAGCCAACCAGAGGTGGGTGGCAGGGACAGCAGAATGGAGAGGAGAGGGGTTAACGGAAACAAAGTAAAATGGCATAAATGAATAAAAATGCTATATTGAAATCCTTTACTTTATGTTAATATAAATTAAAAATACAATAAAAAAGAAAACAGACCAGGTGCTAGTATGTGGAACAAAAGAAAAATAAAATAAAAACAATCATATGGCTATGCAAATTAGTACCATCTTGGGCACAGCCAATCACCCATGTTCAACACTGTCAGCATAAATCAGTGTGTGTCTTCTTCTACATTATCACAAAATAGACATTCGCACTACTGCTCACTAATCTTCTGCTTCCCTTTGAAAAAAGGAGCTATGGTTTTGACCTTGGATGAAAGTCAGAACCTCCACTCAGGTACTGGATCACAGCCTCTCTCTCCTACCATCTTAGGAAGTGTACATCATCAGGTACCTGTTTTTGCCTTTACATTCCAATAATTCCCCAAAAACACACATATATAAAATGTCTAAACATATATTTGAAGTTTTATTTCATAATAATAATTTAGTTTTAGTTTAAGACTCTAAAAAAAATTAAGATGACTTAAGATGCCAATGGTATGTATTAGATTTGAAGCATCTCACTAATAGATCAATCACATATTAAAGGCTTTGTCTCCAGCTGGTGGACCAATCACTGAAAGAGGGCTGACCTTCTTCAGAATCACAAGGACTCTGACCTCAGCTGTAGACTCAGCTTCAGATAGAATCACAACTTGCTGGCATTGTTGGAAAATAATGTGCTCCTCTTAGAGGAAGTGGGTTCATCAGTCCTAGGAGGCCATATCTTATCCCAGGTCCTTTTCTGTCTTTCTCTCTTCCTGCCAGCTGCCATGAGGTGAGAAACTGAGTTCCACCTAAACCTTGACTGTAGCAGGAATCTTAAATGGTCTTATTAATAGAAACAAACCTGGAGCCAGGTATTGGGGTGAATACTGGATGATCAGAGAAGCAGAGCAAGCCATAGCTACCTCTCCTTGCCAGTTCCTCAGCTGATCCTGTTTCCTCAGACTGGAAGCCTCTGAGTCCTCATCCAGAATGAATCTCAGCTGAACTGCTGCTCCAAAGCCTGAAACCTTAACCAGCTAAAAGCTTCTAGTTTCTGGTCTTCATGCCTTATATCTCTTTTTGCTTTCTGCCATCACTCCCTGGGATTAAAGGCTCACTTCTTGGGATTAAAGGCGAGTGTCACCATGCCTGCCTGTTTCCAATGTGGCCTTGAACTCACAGAGATCCAGATGGATTTCTACCTCTGGAATGCCTTTAAATAAACAAGTAGACCTTAAAAAAAGAAAGAAAGAAAGAAAGAAATATAGGTTAATTTTAATTGTAAGAGCTAGTTAGTAACAAGCCTAAACTATCGGCCAATCTTTTATAATTAATAAAAGTCACTGTGTGGTTATTTGGGAGCTGGCTATTCCAATAAAAAACCCCACCTACAAATGCTTTCTATAATATTGCTTGTGCTTGACTGTATTTTGTCAGAAGCTTGGCCTTCTCTATCTCATAAGAACGCTCAAATTCTTGATTTATATCTCAGTGCCTTTCATGCTACAATCATAGCATAGTTCAACTCTCAAGCAGCTATTACAAGCTGAACTATCAAAGATTGACTATAAATTTTCCTACCCCTGGGAATTATTCAGGCCAGAGAATAGATAGACATTAGCATCTACTCTTCAAATACATGGTGCGAAGTGCTGTACCCCAGACAGTCAAGTACAAGGACAGTTGAGAGCCTGTGAATTCAGTCTCAAGGTAGATGAGAGGATGACAGGAAAACCTTCCAAAAGGAAAGAAAACTGTAGTTTCATTCATTCTTCTCCTTCATTCTTTCATTCTTTCTTCTCACAATATCTTAGTGAGCAGGGAGACACAATAAATGATAATCAAGGGTTAAAATCAGCTAGTAAAAGGGTTGTTTGTTTTGATTCCCCAATCTAGAAACTCTGAAAATCTACTAGACCCAGCTCTGTTCCAACTTTCCAGAAAAGCTTCCCTTCTTGGCAACTGTGAGGAGTATGAGAGAGGAGATACACACTTCCCTGGTCTAGAACCTACTTAACCTTACTCTGAAGACTATAATTTCCAGAGATCATAGAACAGGTAATAGCTTGAGCACACATAAGTTTCAGTTACAAAGTCTCGCATTTTCAATACCCTGTGTTCCCCCATGATACCAATTTCTGTGATATGACCTTTACCAGATCAAAACTTCCAGTTGTCTCTGCAGAATGATATGTAGCCATCTATCCAGAGAGCCCTTCTTGCCTGTGACATAAGTTTGCCTTTCAGGCATGTCACAATCACTTAGCTATGACACACAATCACTTTGTGTGGATACCTTCACCAAATTGGTTTTATTTTCCAGGTCTTGGAGCTAGGCCAATTCCTTGTAGCCTTTGCTTCATAGCTATCTGCCACACAATGGCAAGACAGTTAAGTACATGAATTCATCTTGTTTCTAGTGTTGCAAAGACTGAAATGCTCAAGTAGTTCATAAAGTGTTCTCTTAAGTGTGTGTTTGCCAGTGATAAGCCAAAACTGTCCTTGGTTAACACTGCTGTATAAAATACTGCAGCTGTAGGTGCCTGTGAACATGGTAATGATTCAGATGGGTTTAGGCAAAGAACTGCTTGATAGTAAGGCTTTGGTCTAGCTGTCATCTTCCTGCAGTGTACAGGGTGACATCTAGTTTGCATCATGGCATTGCAAACCAAGTGTCTTTTCTAAAAGCAGAATGTCATGCATTGTTTCAGTAAGTGAGCTCAGGACCAACAAATAGAACTGAAAGGGAGAAACAGCCCAAGACATTGTTATTCCTATTAAAGTTCTTTCTGCAGTAAATAGTCCAGGAATGTCCACCATCAGTGGGTTTCTCTCAACCAGCCTCACATGGTTGGCCTCCTCAAATAACCAGATGCACAATGACCCAGCATCAACTTCACAGACTACCGACGACTGATCAGCATCTACACCGTTCTTTCCTGGAGTTGATCAATTAATTTCTTTGACACTAATAAAACTTTTATGCTTGTATATGTTTGTTATAAAATGTCTTAAAATGTCAAGCACTATTTTCTCCCAAAGCAGTTTTACAGCATATTTTTTCTTATCTTCCACTAAGATTATCCAACTAATAAGAATGAAAAAACGAAATGAAATAAAGAAAGAAATGTTTTAGAAAAGTTTAATAAAATGTCCGAAATAGGGTGGCTGAGATGGCTTAGCAGGGGAAGGCACTTGTTGCCAAAACTGGTGATCTGATGTGGAGCCCCAGGGTTCACATGGTAGGAGGGAACTTAACTCATGCAAGCTGTCCTCTGACCACCCCCCCCCCCACACACACACACAAGTTGTATTGATGTCAAAAACAAATGAAAATGTGAACACCACACCATTCTGCCTTCTCTTTATCCCCCGTCCTTTGCTCTCTTCTGTTCTTGGGACTCCTATAAAATACCCTGCACAGATTGATGTGCAGGTGCCTAATGCTGTTTCTGTGAATGTGATTTATAATTATGCTCCTACAAATTTACCTTAAATGCTTATCTGTTGTCTTAGCTGAGCTGGAGATGCAATTGTTTTTGAAATAATAGTAATTTTAGCAAACAAATAACGGAAGAGCCTAACCATCTGAGGAAGTCACAACATTAGTAGATTATTCAATGTCCCTTAGCAACATGACAGCTGGCTGTAAAGCTGCATGCTGTTGTCCAGCAAAATCAGAATGAAATTAAAGCAGGGAGGCTAATAGTCAAAGTTTATATGAAATCCTTCTCATTAAGTTAAGAACAGATGAGCATTGTGAGGTAATTTAGCTTACCGTTCTCACCTTTCTCAACTCCAGCACAAGCAAGAGAATAGGGAGGGTACCAAAGGTAGAAGCCACAGCCTTTGGATAACCTATGATCAAACATGATGTTCCTTCTGCTATGCTGTTGAAGTGACTCACTATTGTAGCCATGCTCAAGGGCATATGAGTATTAAAATAGTATTTCCCCTCCACCACTGCTTTATGTTCCATTACTAGCAGTCAATGGAAGTCCAAAAATATTTATTGGGAAGTACTAGGAAAGCAATAATGCAATCTCAGGGTTCACAGTGTGATCAAATATCCCACAACTTCAAATATTGTGTATACAGTGCAGGATAAATGCTCAGTCCTTCCCCTCACTTCATCTTAACACATAGTCATTCTTCATTCTATCTCACATCATGGCAAGAAGAAAGGGCTTTATTATATTATAGATTTTTGACACACACAAACAGAAAGAGAGAAAAAGTTACTCGTTTTTCTTATAACATATTATAATTGTCCTTTTCTATAATTATTATTCTTAATCTCTTACTATGCCTAAATTTTAAATTTTATCATGAGCACATACGCTGAAGGAAAAACATAGTATATACAGGATATAGTACTGCCTGCAGTTTCAGGTCTCTGCTGGAGAACCTGTCATGTGTCCTCACAGGGAAAGGGAGACTCCTGTGCTGAAACTTGAGACCAGTGGTGCAGAAGGACCAAGACATGCTGGAGGACAGGTAAAGCCATGAGCCACATGGCAAAATGTAGATTAACAGAAATTGGTTAATTTAAGTTTTAAGAGCTAGTTAGTAACAAGCCTAAGCTATTGGCCTAGCATTTATAATTAATACTGAGTCTCTGAGTGATTATTTAGGAGTGGCTGCAATGACAGGAAATCTCCACCTACAGATGTGGAGAAACATAACAGAGAGATAGGAGAAACGGTGGCAAATGTTAGCTCCTGGGGATTAATGAATTTTTCAGAACCTCTCAACATAGTTACTGACTCTCAGTATGCTGAAAGAGTGGTATTACATATCGAGACTGCAGAATTTATCCCTGATGCTTCAGAATTAACTTCACTATTTATTCATTTACAAGATATAATCAGGAATAGGTATCATCCGTTATATATAACTCACATCCATTCCCATATGGGTCTGCCAGGCCCTCTAGCACAAGATAATTGTGAGATTGATAAACTATTGATAGGAAATGTGCTGGAGGCCACCGAATGTCATAAAAACATCATAGTAAAGGTTTAAAAAAGGATTTTTCCATAACCTGGCAACAAGCCAAGGAAATTGTAAGGAAATGCCCTACTTATTCCTTTTACAATCAGACCCCATAATCATAAAATTTTCTTTATGTCCCCATAAGAATACAGTGCCCTTATCCAGCAGGAAGTAGTATGAGAAGTTATGCCAAAATTCCCAAAATATTGTTTATAAATGTTTATTTTTATTTAAAGGGGGTTGATTATAAATGCAATCTCTTTCTAAAGAAAAAAAGAGATATAGGTATGATAGGATAAAAAGGTAGATGTTTGAACCTACTTTTAAAGAGCAACAATTTGTTTAGAAATGTTTTACATTGCTATAGATTTTAGTTTATTGATACAAATTTACAGTTGATTTTGCTATACTATATATGTATATGTATGTATATATATATTTCTACTCTCATTTAAGGTATTGTGTTTATGAAACTCATTTAGGTTGTAATGGATAATTAAAAATACAGATTAATAATTAGTCTTCTATGATAGTCAAACTTATAGCCATGTTAAGCTTTCTAGGTATACATAGATATAATTCAATTAGGTAGGTAATCTTCAAACACTTCAAAGACCTACAGAATATGGCATTTAAAATGTTTAAAAATTTAGACATTCTGGACAATGAGACATGTCTGCTCCTGGCAGCACCAATTTACTTCAGAGAGGAGGATGGGCATCGAAGACACTCCATATGGAATTTCTCTTATTCTTGGCAAAAATAGCCATTTGGACAAGAAACTGTTCTTGCCTAGAATGCTTGATTGAATGGACATGCAGAACGCATAGGAAGGTGACCACTGAACTTTGCTTGGTAAAATGGTCCTTCAGGTTCCTGCTTCACAAAGGAAACTGCCAGATATTCCACAGGACACAGAGAGAACTGACTGAGAGACTCTAGACCTGTGGGCTGAAGACAGATGCCCCAACTTTACAAAGAAACTTTGGATGACTGTCCAGGCAGCCAGCTGTCTCTGTCATTCTAGATTTTTGGAAGCTACTTATAATGCACTTCCTGTTTACTTAGGTAATATATCCTTCTGAGGTCTTTGATGTAGCTGAAGACTAGATAGTTATGATTTCCTTTGTTATGATAAAAGATAAGTTAGATATAAAACCTTAGACTCACAAATATAGGATAGATAGGATATCTAATTTTGCCAAATACAAATAGACTAGATATTATAACTGTAAGTCTTGCTTGATAATTGTTTTGTTATATGTAATTTTGCTATGTTAAAGTTAAAACATTCCTGTTTGAAAAAAAGAAAAGGGGAAATGCTGGGGATGTCTTTCTATATGCTGTGAATGTGTTGCTCTGATTGATTGATAAATAAAATGCTGATTGGCCAGTAGCCAGGCAGGAAGTATAGTGTAGGTGAGATAAGGAAAGAGGAGAATGCTAGGAAGTAGAAGGCTGAGTCAGAAGATGCTGCCAGCCACCAACGCCATGAGAAGTAAGATGTAAAGTACTAGTAAGCCACAAGCCACGTGTTAACTTACAGATTAATAGAAATAGGTTAATTTAAGATAGAAGAACTAGATAGCAAGAAGTCTACCACGGCCATACAATTTATAAGTAATATAAGTCTCTATGTGTTTACTTGTGTCTGAGTGGTTACAGGAGCCGGGTGGACTGGAGAAAACGCCAGCAACAGTTAGCAGTTCCAGAATCTGCATGAAGGGCATGTGGGCACACTGCGTTCTTATTTAAATTTCTTTGTAGTTTTGAATTTATCAAAATTAAAAGTTAGAGAAGATGAGGTCGTACTGGATAGGTTTGTGTCCATTTGACACAAGCCAGACTCACTGAGAAAGAGGGAAGTTCAATTGAGAAAATGCCTGTATCAGATTTGCCTTTACATTAGCCTGTAGTAATGTGCTTCCTTGATTGATGGCTGAACTAGAGGATCCAGCTCACTGTGTGGTATCCAACTCCTGGGCTGGTAGTCCTGGGTGCTATAAGAAAGTAGATTGAGCAAGACATGGAGATAAAAAGCCAGTAAGCCGACTTCCTCTTAGCCTCTGCATCAGTTCCCACCTCCAAGATCCTGCCTTGACTTCCTGCCCTGAATTCCCTGGATGATAAGCTATAAAAAGAAATGAATTCACTCTTCCCCAACTTGCTTTTGATATTTTATTGCAACAATAGAATCCCT